TTTATATATTGTCTTTATAAGGTACCATTGTGATTTTTAGATTTCTTGCACCGTACGTACGTACGTACGTACGTACATAGGTGCATTCATCTATTAAAGTTGATAATGCTGGGACTCTGAATTCCTGCAAAACTTTAAAAATCTAAAATCGCTTTACATATATAGAATAAAAGATAGTTAGGTTTTTGTAGTAAATACATGAATGAAGTACAATTTGTTCTTATGTAAAATGATAGAAGAACCAGTTTATTGAGACTTCAATATATAGAAATTGATTTCCTGTACCGTACATACTGTACGTTATATAATAATAACGGTAATAATTCTAAAATTTTTTATAAATAAGACTCAAATTCTTATGGTCTCCACAGTACGCATGTACTAAAAATTCGTATTATTAAAGTTTTAAATAACATAATTTATTGTCTCATTCTGTAACAATGGTAAATATTGTTATAAAAATTCTATATTGTTAACAATACACATGACCCTCGTTGATATCAACCTACGTTAATATTAACCTAAGCTGCAAGACAAATTTTCATAAATTGTTATATATCAAAATTCCCTCATATATATAACTTTACTATAATTCATCATTAATATCACTATCAACATGAATATAAGAGTGATCCAAATGGGTTGGCATTATCGAGAGTCAGGTGTATTAATTTTAGGCAATGTCCTCGTTTTTTTTTCTTAGAATAACTCTAAATTATTAATAAAGTATTTAATTTTTAGGATAAAGGAGAAATTGCAGCATATGCAATACTTGGCTTTATTGGGCTTACTTTTATTACAGTTTTTATGTCTGGACTAATTAAAAGTTGCAAAAAAGGAATAGCTCCTCAATTTCTTCTTTATTTTATCTTGGCATTTGTCTGTCCTCCTTTAAGTGTTAAGCTACTCAAAGATGAGATAGAAGATTTAAAAGAACAGCGCCGGATTTTGGAAAAGCAAAACGGACGAAAAGATGAATCACCTTGGTATAAAGAAATAATTACTTGCTTCGGTTTTTGGGAATTGTGCTTTGAGTCTATAAAATCATGTTGTAAATGCTTGTGTATGGCAATTACATGTAATTGTTGTGGTCTTAATGATGAAGATGTTCAAGATAACATATGTTATACATTGTTTGGAGTTCTTCCTGGTTTGTCTTAAATTTTTTATTTTTAAAATATTTATTTATTGATTTATTATTAATTTATTTGTATATTAATTGTTATGATAACTAGGTATTCTTCATGCTCTTATTAAGTTATTTAAGATGATAGATCTTGTAATATCTGAACCAAAGCAGGGAGAGAGTGTTTAACAAGTTGGTGGTAGTCAAAGATATTTTCGTTTTATTATCACTCCATTGGATGTGCAAATAAATTTGTTCACTACAATATCATGATTTTAAAAGTTATATATAAAACGATAATTTTTTCATCATTTGAACTGATAATTTTTAAATACAATATTTAAAATTTGTATATTAATGATAGTTTAGCCTAGTTATACTAAATATTAATAAACTGTATATTTAAATTATAAAGGCACTATTCCCTTTCTGAATTATTCATTTAGCTTATATTACTTTTATCAATAAGTAATATCCCGAGTGAGGTGCGTATCACGCGAATGATGAGCTTTCTCTTAAGGATATAAAATTTTCTACTGCGTTAATATATTAAAAGTGTTCAAAATAGGTTCATATTTTACTATTGTATAATTACAAAAACAATCCTCTTGAATATTGTTATCATCTATTAAAAAACTTTTTACCAAACTATGTTAATGTGGGTCAACTAATCAAATTTTAGATTTTATTAAATTATGATGGTCGAGTTGTAGATCATCTTGTTAAAATAAAATTTATCGTCAAAAAAAAAAGAAGTCATCCTGGTCGCCCAACTGGTTGACCACTGATAAATTGAATAGGTTAAAAAAGTTATCCACCCAAGTTATATAGAGTACAGATCATGAGATAAAAAATTTACTGTACAGTATACAAATTATAAATTCACTGCGCTGCATTTTTAACTAGGAAAAAAATTTACATTAGCTAAAAATTGACCAAATTCAATAAACTGATGATCATCCAATCTCCGGACAATCAAAGTAAATCTTGCCAAATTTAAAGATCCCTAGCTAACCATTGTATTAAATAACCAATAAGGGTAGCTGCGCAGCGTGTGACGCGGCGCAGGACCAGTACGATCACGTACGCTGTTGTGAAAAGCTCAAGGAAATCAATTTACCTATTCTCCTTTTTTTTTGTTTTCTTCTATTGGTAGAATT